TCTAGTCTAGTATAGTCCCTGGTATGGTGATTGATCATCCAGTATAGTATAGTCTAGTACCGGTCTGGTGTGATAATCCAGTCTAGTCTAGTACCTGGTCTGTGATCTCAGTTTCTAGTCTGGTCTAGTTACCTGGTATGTTGATCCTCCAGTCTAGTCTCGTACTGGTCTGGTGATCCTCCAGTATAGTATAGTACCTGGTCTGGTCTGATTGATCTCAGTATAGTTTCTAGTCTAGTACCTGGTCTGATGATCCTCCAGTCTAGTCTCGTCTAGTCCCTGGTCTGGTGATCATCCAGTATAGTCTAGTCTGCTAACCTGGTCTGGTGATAATCAGTCTAGTCTAGTCTAGTAACGGGTCTGGTGATATCAGTCTAGTCTAGTACTTGGAAACGGTGATCATCCAGTCTAGTTCTAGTCTAGTACCTGGTCTGGTGATATAACAGTTAGTCTAGTACTGGTTGATGATCCTCCAGTCTAGTCTAGTCTCGTACTAGTTGGTGTCCTCCAGTCTAGTCTAGTCTAGTACCTGGTCTGTTGATCATCCAGTCTAGTCTAGATATTGGTCTGGTGATCATCCAGTCTAGTCTAGTACCTGGTCTGCGTGATCATCCAGTCTAGTTAGTACCTGGTCTGATGATCTCCAGTTAGTTCTAGCACCTGGCTGGTGATCATCCAGTCTAGTCTAGATCTGGTTCTGGTGATCATCAGGCAGTCTAGTACCTGGTGCTTGGTGATCATCCCAGTCTAGTTCTAGTACATGGCTGGTGCATCATTCCAGTCTAGTCTAGTTACCTGGTCGGTGATCCATCCGTCTAGTCTAGTACCTGTTGATGATCTCCAGTCTTAGTCTCGTCTAGTACCTGGTCTGATATGATGATCCTCCAGTCTAGTCTAGTACCTGGTCTGCTGATCATCCAGTCTAGGCTAGTACCTGGTCTGATGATCCTCCAGTTCTAGTTCTAGTCTAGTACCTGATCTGGTGATCATCCAGTCTAGTCTAGTTACCTGGTCTGATGATCTTACAGTATAGTCTAGTCTAGTACCGGTCTGGTGCTCATCCAGTCTAGTCTAGTACCTGGTCTGCGTGTCATCCAGTCTAGTCTAGCACCTGGTCCTGGTTGTGATCATCCAGTCTAGTCTCGTACATGGATCTGGTGATCATCCAGTCTAGTCTAGCACTGGTCTGGTCTGGTGACATCCAGTCTAGTTAGTACTGGCTCTGATGATCCTCCAGACTAGTCTAGTTAGTACCTGGTCTGGTGATCATCCAGTTAGTCTGTACCTGGTATGGTGATCATTCCAGTCTAGTCTATTACTGGTCTGTCCCTCCTCCCTCCCAGCCTGTTGTTCCGTCTCTGAATGGAAAAGCCCAGTAGGCTTCCAGGAGGCCCCCAACCAACCAAAGATCCAGAGCAGATTACATCCCAAAAGATGACTAGAGACAGAGAAAGAAGAGGAGAACACAGAGATGAGAGAGACAGGAAAGAAGCAGAGACAGAGACAGTTTGAGAGAGAAGAGAGCAAAGGAAAGAGAGAGAGAGAGAGAGAGAGAGAGAAGGGAGGACGGAAGAGGGAGAGAGAGAGAGCGAGAGAGGCCCAGGGAATGTAGTACTAGTCTGTGGCGACCTAAATGCCAGAACTTGGACCAGAATCATTGACACTCTTAGCACACAGGGGCACAAACACCTAATTGGAGTGGGGTGGTGCAGCATTCCCACCCAACATGCCCCCTAGACACAAACAAACTAACAAAAAGGGGGGGCACAAGTCCTGCGCTCAGTCGCCCGCCGGGTCTGTAATCGTCATGGTGGCCTTCGAGGAGACTCCTACGGTAGGTACACCTATAGCCACTCCTCTCTTGGCGTAGTACTGTAGATTACTGTATCACTGGACCTCATTCCAGAGTTCTAAGACGTTCACAAGTCAGCCCATGACACCCCTATCAGCTCACAGCAAAATTCACAGTCTACTTGAACCAGAGCAGTACTCAATTCAGAGCAATCAAGGCCCAAGGACTGCATATATTAAGACATGGCTATAGATGGACGGAAAGTAGTTAGAACTACCAAAACTATTAGGCAACAACAAATTCAAGCCCTTTTAGACAAACTTCCTGGACCAAATGTTTTTCACTGTAATAGTGAAAGGTGTAAACTGGACAGTAGTAGGAAAAAACCCTAAACAGAATATATCACCTCTACAGCTTCCCTATCAAATCTAAAAAATGTCAAGAGACCAACATAAGCAAATTATCAACATGACAAACGGGTGATGAAGAATGCAAAAACTAAGAAAGAAATTGAGGGAAAGAAACAGATCCACCAAACACTGAGACCAGAAACTGAGCCTACGCCTTCACTATGGTGAATCACTAAAACAATACAGAAATTACATGCGGAAAAAGAAGGAACAGCCATGTCAGAAATCAGCTCAATGTAATTGAAGAATCCTTAGACTCTAACCACTTTGGGAAAAGGAAAAAACTAAACAAACAAACAACACGAGAGCTAATCTATCCAAAACGGAGATGCGGGTAAACCACTCCCAATCTTTTGGCCATATTAACAAGAACAAACAGCAAAAACATTCCATGATTAAAACCAAACTTAGAATCACATTTATTGACTACCAGAACAACGGAGTACTACAATTACATTGAATGAATACAGGGACAAAGTACAAACCCTCCAACCCCCAAAAAGGACTGTGGTGTTGATGTATCTCAATTAAATGATAAATATACAGACCACACTAATCCAATGGCCGTATGTGACTTAAAATCTTTAAAATCATCTTCAGCCTGGCATCTTCCCCAATATTTGGAACCAAGGGACTGATCACCCCAATCCACAAAGTGGAGACAAACTTGGACCCCAATAACAAGTGGGCTATTTACGCAACAGGCAACCTTGGTAACAGCCTCTGCCATTTATCATTAACAGGCAGACTCGTACATTTCCTCAGTGAAAACCAATGGACTGAGCAAATGTTTCAAATGGTTTTTTACCAAACTTCACGTACACAGACCAGTATTACCCTGCACACCCTAATGCAAACAAAAAAACCAAAAACAAAGGTAAAGTCTTCTCATGCTTTGTTGATTTCAAAAAAAGCTTTGACTCAATTTGGATGAGGGATGCTAACAAATTGATTGGAAAGTGGGGTTGGGGGAAAAACATATACATTATAAAATCCATGTACACAAAACAAACAAGTGCGTGTTTGTAAACTGGCAAAAAAAAAACACACAAACATCTTTCACGGGCCGTGGGGTTGTGTAGACAGGGATGCAGCTTAAAGCCCCACCCTCTTCAAATAGTATATTCAACGACATTGGCAGAGGGCATAGAAACAGTTCTGACAGCACACGGCCTCACCTAATAGAATCTGAAGTCAACTGTCTATGTGCTGCTGATCTGGTGCTTTGTCCCCACCAAGGAGGGCCTACAGCAGAATCTAGGATCTTATGCACAGATTCTGTAGATCTGGGGCCCTGACAGTAAATTCTCATTAAGACAAAAATAACGGGTGTTCCAAGAAAGTTCAGTTGCAGGTTCAGGACGACAAATACAAATTCTTAGACCCCGTGCCCTAGAGCAACACAACCAAAAGATACATACCTCGGCCTAAACATAAGCTCCACAGGTAACTTCACACAAGCTGGTGGTGTGAACGATCTGAGGGAAAGGCAAGAAAGGGCCTCATGGCAAGATGCATCAAAAGGAACATAAAATTCATCATACCCAATTGGATCGGCTAAAAATACCTTGGAATCAGTTATAGAACCCATTGCCTTTATGGTTGTGAGGTTGGGGTCCTCACAACCAAGAATTCACAAAATGGGACAAAACACCAATTGAGACTATGCATGCAGAATGCTGCCAAAAAAAGATCCTTGGTACAACGTTAAAACACCAAATTAATGCTGCAGAGCAGAATTAGGACGATACCGCGAATGATCTAAAATCCCGGACAAGGGGCTGGTTTAAATTCTACAAACACCTAAAAGGAAGCATTCCCAAACCTTCCTAACAAACCCATCACCTATCGACAGATGAACCTGGATAAGAGTCACCTACGCAAAGCCTGGGGCTTGTTCACAAACCACAAACAGACCCCCACAGAGCCCCAGGACAGCCAAACATTAGACCAACCAAATCATGAGAAAACAAAAAGGATTAATTACTTGATACATTGGAAAGAAATTAACAAAAACAACGAGCAAACAGAATGCTAGTTTGGCCTAAACAGAGAGTACACAGTGGCAGAAACCTGACCACACATTGACTGACCCAAAATGAGGAAGCTTTGACTATGTACAGACTCAGTGAGCATAGCCTTGCATTGAGAGAGGCGCCGTAGGAGACCTGCTCTCACGAGAAGACAGGTCTGTGGCACACTGCCCACCAAAAGAGGTGGGAGGAGGAAACTGAGCTGAACTTCCTAACCTTGCCAAATGTGTTACCATATTAGAGACAATATTTCCCTCAGATTACACAGACCCACAAAGAATTAGAAAACAAATCATTCTGGTTAAATCCCTTAATCTAGTGGGTGAAAAACCACAGTGTGAATTCACCAGCTGCAAGATGTTGTGACCTGTTTGCCACAAGAAAAGGAAACCAGTGAAGAACAAACACCATTGTAAATACAACCAGTATTTATGTTTATTTCTTTTCCCATTTGTACTTGTAAGTATTTGCACATTGTTACAACACTGTATATAGACATAATATGCCATTTGAAATATCTTTCTTCCTTTGGAACTTTTGTGAGTGTTGTAATGTTTACTGTTAATTTTGATTGTTTATTTCCAATTTTGTTTATTATCTACTTCACTTGCTTGGCAAAGTTAACATACGTTTCCCATGCCAATAAAGCCAATTTAATTGGAAAATTGAGAGAAGAAGTAGACATTTTTGCTACCTCATAGGACAATCGCCTGTCCTGTTCATGGGGCATAACCCGTGGCAATACATATCAAAGGATGCCCTTCACTAGCCCAGGTGGGCGTGGTTGCTGGAAGACTCCTCCTTCACGCGGCCGGCCCCCACGTCCAGGGCAAACACCTGGGACCAATCCCATTACATCCGTCATGGTCCTGGTGGAAACAGAAAGAATCCCTACCATCAATCATGTCAATCAATTCAATATGTCAATCAAACCAACCAATAATGAATCAAACAACCAATCAAGCCAATCAACCAGCCAATCACCCAATCACCATCAACCAGCCAATCAATGAAATCAACCCAACCAATCAAGCATAACCAAGCCATCACCAATCAACCAGATCAAACCAGCCAATCATCAATCAATCATCAATCAATTCAATCAATCACTCAAGCAATTCTATCTATCGATCTATCATCGATTATCGATCTATCCTACACATCTAATTCGATCATTGTCTGTCTGTTGTCGTATGTCTGTATGCTATCTATCTATCTATATAATCTATCTATCTATTATCTATCTATTATATATCTATCTATCTATATATCGTCTATCTATCTATCTATCTATCTATATATCTATCTCTCTCTCTATCTATCTATCTATCTATTCGGTCTGGCTGTCTGTCGTCTGTCGTCTGTCTGTTCTGTCTGTCTTGTGTCTGTCTGTCTGTCTGTCTGTCTGTCTGTCATGTCTGTCTGTCTGATCTATATATCTATCTATCTATCTGCTGTCTGTCGGGTCTGTATATCTATCGATCTATCTATCTATATATCTATCTAGCTATCTATCTATCTATCTATCTAGCTATCTATCTATTGTCTGGCTGTCTGTCTGTCTATCTCTTATCTATCTATCTATCATCTATCTATCTATCTATCTCTCTATTATCTATCTATCTATTATCTTATAGCTGTCTGTCATCTTATCTATCTATCTATATATCTAGCTATCTGTCTGGCTGTCTGTATGTTCTGTCTGTCGGTCTATCTATCTATCTATCTATCTATCTATCTATCTATCTATCTATCTATATCATCTATCTATCTATTGTCGGTCTATCGAGATATCGATCGAAGCTAGGCGAGCGAGCGAGCCAAGCTAGCGAGCGTATCGAATAGAGCGATCGCTCTCTATGTCTGCAGCGATCGATATATATCCTATCTATCTATCATCTATCTATCTATCTATCTATCTATCTATCTATCAACCAGACAACAGTAACTAGCTAACAGCAGCAGTACCTGTCTGAGCAGAGACAGAGAGCAGCGTTCTGCCCCCACCACCTCTAAAGCATGTAGCAGGGCCCCCTGGCAGAGCTCCGCCACAGAGCCTATCCTCCCAGAGCCTCCAGCCAGTAGCTTCATCATCCAGTCACAGCCCTCACCTCGCCCACAGGGCTCACCTCGCCCACAGGATCTAGTCCTCCTCGGAGAGCGGGGAGAGAAGCGGGGTGAAGAGCGGGGTGAAGAGCTGGGGGAGTGGGGACAGCGGAGGGAGCGAGAAGAAACGGGGGAGTGGGGGGAGCGAGGAGTACGGGGGGAGCAACTGCCCGCCCTCTCGAGGGTGAGGGGGTCACCCCACCGGGGGGTGGAGAGGGTGGAGGTCTGGTGAGAGGGGGGTTGGGACAAGGAGGGGATGGAGGCGGAGGTGGAGATCCGGAGGGAGGGGCTGGACAGGGGGAAGGTGTCCCGGCCGCGGCCCAGGAGGAGCATGCTAGAGCTGGGGTCGGACGGAGACCTGCTGGGCCCTCTGGAGGTCTGGGGAGAGGTTACCGTCTCCACGAACCAGCTTCCCACCATCTCCCTGACACACACACACACACACAGGACAAGTCTTAAATAACACCCTATTCCCTATATCAGTGTTTCTTAATGCTAAGCACTACCCACCCGATTCCATGAATCAACTCATCATCAAACCTTTCATTAGTGGAGTGTGTAGTGCTAGGGCAAAAAACTCTAATATAGATGAAGAAACACTATATAGTGCACTATTTGGACCAGGATGAAGAAACACTGCCCTATATAGTGAACTATTTTGACCAGGATGTAGAAACACTGCCCTATATAGTGCACTATTTTGACCAGGATGAAGAAACACTGCCCTATATAGTGCACTATTTTGACCAGGATGTAGAAACACTGCCCTATATAGTGTACTATTTTGACCAGGATGAAGAAACACTGCCCTATATAGTGTACTATTTTGACCAGGATGTAGAAACACTGCCCTATATAGTGTACAATTTGGACCAGGATGAAAGAAACACTGCCCTATATAGTGTACTATTTGGACCAGGATGAAGAAACACTGCCCTATATAGTGTACTATTTGGACCAGGATGAAGAAACACACTGCCCTATATAGTGTACTATTTGGACCAGGATGAAGAAACACTGCCCTATATAGTGTACTATTTGGACCAGGATGAAGAAAACACTGCCCTAATATAGTGAACTATTTGGACCAGGATGAAAAAAACACTGCCCTATATAGTGCACTATTTGGACCAGGATGAGAAAACACTGCCCTATATAGTGCACTATTTTGACCAGGATGAAGAAACCACTGCCTATATAGAGTACTATTTGGACCAGGATGAAGAAACACTGCCCTATATAGTGCACTATTTGGACCAGGATGAAGAAACACTGCCCCTATATAGTGGTACTATTTGGACCAGGATGAAGAACACACTGCCCTATATAGTGCACTATTTGGACCAGATAAAGAAACACTGCCCTATATAGTGCACTATTTTGACCAGGACCAGGATGTAGAAACACTGTCCTATATAGTGAACTATTTGGACCAGGATGAAGAAAAAACATGCCCTATATAGTGTACTATTTTGACCCAGGATGTAGAAACACTGCCCTATATAGTGCACTATTTGGACCAGGATGAAGAAACACTGCCCTATATAGTGCACTATTTTGACCAGGATGAAGAAACACTGCCCTATATCGAGTACTATTTGGCCAGGATGAAGAAACACCTGCCCTATATAGTGCACTATTTGGACCAGGATGAGGAAACACACTGCCCTATATAGTGTACTATTTGGCACCAGGATGAACGAAGACACTAACATGCCCTATATAGTGCACTATTTGGACCAGGATGAAGAATCACTGCCCCTAATAGTGCACTATTTGACCAGGGATGAAGAAACACTGCCCTACTATAGAGTTACTATTTGGACCAGGATGAAGAAACACTGCCCTATATAGTGCACTATTTTGACCAGACCAGGATTGTAGAACACTGCCTATATAGTGAACTATTTGCGACCAGGATGAAGAATCACTGCCCTATATAGTGCACTATTTGGACCAGGATGAAGAAACACTGCCCATATTAGTGTACATTTGGACCAGGATGGAGATGTAGAAACACTGCCCTATATAGTGTACTATTTTGACCAGGATGAAGAAACACTGCCCCTATATAGTGTACTATTTTGACCAGGATGAAGAGCAACCACTGCCCTATATAGTGTACTATTTTGACCAGGATGTAGAAAACACTGCCTATATAGTGTACTATTTGGACCAGGATGTAGAACACTTGCCCTAGATAGTGAAACTATTTGGACCAGGATGAAGAAACACTGCCCCTATATAGTGAACTATTTGGACCAGGAGGAGAAACACTGCCCTATATAGTGAACTATTTGGACAGGATTGAAGAAAACACTGCCTATATAGTGTACTATTTGACCAGGATGTAGAAACACTGCCCTATATAGTGTACTATTTGGACCAGGATGAAGAATCACTGCCCTATATAGTGTACTATTTTGACCATGATGAAGAACACTGCCCTATATAGTGTACTATTTGACCAGGATGAAGAAACACGGCCCTATATAGTGTCTATTTTGACCAGGATGTAGAATCCACTGCCTATATAGTGTACTATTTTGACCAGGATGAAGAAACACATAGTGTACTATTTTGACCAGGATGTAGAAACACTGCCCTATATAGTGTACTATTTTGACCATGATGAAGAAAACACATAGTTGTACTATTTTGACCAGGGATGAAGAAAAAAAACACTGCCCTATATAGTGTACTATTGGACCAGGATGAAGAACACTGCCCTATATCGTGTTACTATTTGGACCGGATGAAGAAAACATGCCCTATAGAGTGTACTATTGGACAGGATGTCGAAACACTGCCCTATATAGTGAACTATTGTGACCAGGATGAAGAACACATAGTGTACTAGTTGACCAGGATGAAGAAACACATGAGGTCTATTTTGACCCGGATTAGGATGTGAAAAGAAACACTGCCCTTAATATAGTGTACTATTTGACCAGGAGAAAGGAAAACACATAGTGACTATGTTGACCAGGATGAAGAAACACATAGTGTACTATTTTGAACCAGGAGAGAAACATGCTATCTCGTGTTTACTATTTTGACAGGAGGCATGAGAAACACATAGTGTACATTTGTTGAAAGGATGAAGACAACACATAGTGTACTATTTTGACCCAGGATGAAGAAACAATGCCCTATATTGTGACTATTTTGACCAGGATGAAGAAAAACTAGTGTACTATTTTGACAAGATGTAGAAAACACTGCCCTATATAGTGTACTATTTTGACCAGGATGAAGAAACACATAGTGTACTATTTTGACCAGGATGTAGAAACACTGCCCTATATAGTGCACTATTTTGACCAGGATGAAGAATCACTGACCCCTCCATATATAGTGTACTATTTTGACAGGATGAAGACAACACTGCCTATATAGTTGTACTATTTGACCAGGACCAGGATGAAGAAACACACTTTCTACATCCCATTATGTGTCTTACCTGGACGAGTGATCATCCAGCCAAACCTCCACCCCTGTCGCTGTCTCCACTCCGCTCCCCAAACCCCCATCGACGCGTCTTGGTCCGAGGGCTCCACAAGCGGCGAGAAAAAACCATCCGGCACTGGTCACCGCAGGCCTTCCTCCCCAGCCGGGCAGTGAGAGTTAGAAGGAGAGGAGGGGTCGGGAGTCGCTCATCCGAGGCCATCGGCTCCTGCAGCGGTTCGGACTGGAGGCAGGGCATACCGTCCGACAAGTAGCTCGAAAACAGGTCCCCTAAACTCAGTTTGAGCGACGGGAGGACACCTCCATTAACAGACCCATCGGAAGCAGAGACGGAGAAATGTGGAGCAGGATCTCTGTAGCCTGTAGAGTAGAGAGAGAGAGGCAGAGACCGTCACCACTATCAGAGCTCAGCCTGTTAGGCTATCAGCTGTTGGATAACCCAGAGGGAGCTGTATATTTAGCTAAAACCTAATCCTGTTGCCCTTGATCTAAAGCCGAGAGCTGGCGTCGCCCAGGTGTTTTATTCGGTAGGAACATTCAAGGAACGGATTAGCGGCTGATTTGGATGCTGGGACTATTATGGACACTGAACCCAGGGTTCCCCCGAGCCGGGCTTGGAAATCCCTCCCCGCGGGCCCTCCCTCTCCCCCTCCCTCCCCACGCTGGCCCTCCCCTCCTCCTCTCCCTCCCTCTCTTCTCTCCATACAGTTAGACACCTCCCCACGCTGATTTAATTAATAGTAGAACAGTGTTGGAGAGAGAGAGAGAGAGGGAAGAGAGGAGGAGAGAGCGAGAATGAGAGAGAGAGAGAGAGGAGAGAAGAGGATGGGAGAGAGAGAGAGAGAAAGAGAGAGAGAGAGAGGGAGAGGGAGAGAGAGAGAGGAGAAGAGAGAGGAAAGAGAGAGAGCGCGACGAGATGTGGAGAGAGGAGAAGAGAGAAGGAGAGAGATGAGGAGAGGAGGACGAGAGGGAGCGAGGGGAGAGAGAGAGAGAGAGAGAGAGAGAGAGAGTCTCATTTGAAATGTCTTTATCTTTTGAACTTCTGAGTGTACTGTTAATTTAATATTTATGTTATTCACTTTTGTTTACTATCTACTTCATGCTTTGGCAATGTTAACACACGTTTTACCATGCCACTAAAGCCCTTAAATTGAATGAATGGAGAGAGGAGGAGAGAGAGAGCGAGAGAGACTGAGAGAGAGCTGAGAAGGAGAGAGAGAGGCGGAGAGAGAGAGAGAGAGAGAGAGGAGGAGAGAGGAGAGGGGCAGAGGCGAGTTGTATTTGCTGCGCCTGAGTGTTTTTGGTCTGTCATTTGTGTGTGTCTGACTCGATGCCACGGTCGCGCCGAGCGCAGCTCCTGAGCGGTAAAGGACAGCGACAGATAGGAAACGGGGGAGGAGAGGGGAGGAGAGAGGGATGGAGGAGAGAGGAGGGACGGGAAGAGAGAGCGAGAGAGGAGAGTGAAGGAGAGTTGAGAGACGGAGAGGAGAGAAGAGAGATGAGAGAGACAGAAGCGGGGAGGCGAGGAGAAAGCGAGAGAGAGGAGAGGGGAGAGAGGAGGGAGAGCGAGAGGAGGGGGGCAGAGCGGAGAAGGAGAGAAGAGGGACCGAGGACAGAGCGAGAGAGTGGAGGAGAGTGAAGTGAGGACAAGGACACTACAAGGGAGGGAAGTTTACAGTTATTTGAACCTTATACGTTCTTTGTCAACACTCCTAGTGGCTATAAAATTTCGTTCAGTACATCTTTGTAAAATCACCCTCTAGTGGCAAATATAATCAGCATTACGTCCCAAATCACCACCCTTTTCCTCAGACACAGGTTTGTGAATTAGAAATATGTAATTATCTTGTTGTCAGCCAATCAAAGGCTCAGACTTCTCTGGAGTAGAAAAAAGAATTTCCCAGAATGCTGCTGTTGAGGATTCGCAGCAGTCAGAAAGAGCAGCACAGCAGCTTCAATTGATCTCTTTGGATGAGCTCCACAGCCTGTCTTGGTCCGTTAGCGGTTCCATTGATCTCCTTGGTCTTGGATGAGTCAGCCCACGTTTGGTCCTGGTTGACGTAGATTCATGTTGGTGGAAGGTGGTGTCTTAGAGTCCCAGGTTTCATACCCTCGGGATAAAGGGTCCTCTGGGTTGACGTAGCATCATGTTGGTGGTTCTTTTTGTACTTAGTTCTCAGGTCGGTCATTACTCCTCTGGGATAGAAATTAGAAGGTCCTGGTTTGCCGTATAGATCATTATTTAAAGATCCATGGTGGTTGTCCTTAGTTCTCAGGTCATACTCTCTGGGATAGAAGGTCCCTGGTTGACGTAGATCATGTTGGTGGTTTTTTGTCCTTTTATGAAGGCCTTTTTTTTTTCTCCTAGTCTCAGGTCATACTCCTCTGGGATAGAAGGTCCCTGGTTGACGTAGATCATGTTGGTGGTGTCCTTAGTTCTCAGGTCATACTCCTCTGGGATAGAAGGTCCCTGGTTGACTTAGATCATGTGGTGGTGTCCTTAGTTTCTCAGGTCATACTCCTCTGGGATAGAAGGTCCCTGGTTGACGTAGATCATGTTGGTGGTGTCCTTAGTTCTCAGGTCATACTCCTCTGGGATAGAAGGTCCCTGGTTGACGTAGATCATGTTGGTGGTGTCCTTAGTTCTCAGGTCATACTCCTCTGGGATAAAAGGTCCCTGGTTGACGACATGGGAAATGTCATAGTGTGTGTGTGTGTGTGTACTGTACCTTAAACAGTCAGTGGAGGTTTCCTCTATACTGGGGTGGGAACTTGGCTTCAGTGTGCTAGAGGAGGACAGCGTTATTCCTCCTGGTAAGGCAAATAGTCTGGGCAGCCATTTGATTAGATGTTCAGGAGTCTTACGGCTTGGGGGTGGAAGCTGTTTAGAAGCCTCTTGGACCTAGACTTTGTTATGTTATCAAATGTACATGGACGCATCTGAAATGGCACCCTTCTCCCTATATGGTGCACACCCATACTGCTCTGGTCTGAAGGAGAGCCATAGGAATGAGGTGACGTGTGTTCGTAGTGCCGCTGCCACCAGAATTATGTTAGAAATTGCGTAATTCAAATCTGGTATTGGAATAAGAATCAAGAGATCTTCAATCCAAGCTTAATTTATTATATGCAAAATGTATGTATGATAAGTATGAAGGTTCGTATATACGGGTCCACTGAGATACCACGCAGGGCACTCAGAGAACTAAACTATTGTTTACAGGTTATTTCTCAAATACTCTGACAGAGAGTTCCCACCTCTTCTGTTGGCCAATCAGAGTAAAGGACTGAGTGTGGTTTAGACTTTACTCAGCCAATCCGTTGGTGCACGGGGTAAGTCCCACCCCTTGGCATAAGTTGCTATCATAATAACCTGCGGAGTCAGCACCCAAAAGACACCATTCCACTGTACTCCATGTACCCACGTTCAAGGACGGTTTCACAGACAACAAAGAGAGAGTGTTCGTATCTGTGAGAAATACAAGTCTTATCTCATCCTAGCCCCTAACGTTCCCCACATGAATAACAGCCTGCTATGTGAAACAATCCATATCAGTACAGTTCAAACCTATGCTCCTCATTAATGCATTCCTTCTAAGCTATTCATCACATACAGATCCAATTATGAGAAAAATAGAACCCAACAATCCCCCTTTTGACGCCCTCTAGGGTGTCACTCATTAAAATACAATACAAACAAAAATAAACACTTTTATTATTAATAGACAATTTGATAATAAAAGTCCTTCAGTCCTTCCATCTACACCCAACTTGCAAACGGTTGGCCACAAGTCACCCAGGCACTTCAAACCTTCACATAAGGAAAGACAAACATTCCCAATGGTTAACTTGATTAATAAAGCATAAAACACAAACAGGGAAGTACATTTTGGCCCCCTTTAGACACCCTCTAGAGTGTCCCTCCTCCAAGTCTGGTAGGTCATATCCTTCATTCCTTAGGTCGGAGTCCGGGATTGGGCCGTATCTCACCATCTGTTTGGAAACCACCTTCTCCATCTCCTTTTCTCACCAACCCTCAGACACAGGAAATAAGACAACATCCACAAAGAACAAGTATACCCACATAAGCTATAACTTCACCCAGAATAGTTACAACAATAGTTTTCCATTTATCAAATATGTTATCAAACCAACCGTTTATGGAGCTATCAATACCAGAGTTCTCAGCCAGTTTGTTCACCAGTGTGGTGAGTCCCTGAAGCGCTTTGGTCACGGACCCGTCCGGTGCTGTGTTGTTGGAGATGAAAGTACAGCACATATATCCAAACAGAACACAAACTCCGCCCCGCTCAGCCAAAAGCATATCTAAAGCTATTTTATTCTGCCATGTCATTAAGCTAGTTGCCGCTGTCTACTCAGCTAATCTTTGCTGGTTATAGTAAATATAATTCATCCAATCTATGTTTTTATTAATTGTTGACCACCAGAAAATACTTGATTCAAACCCAGCTGCGATCTGATTGTGGATTCCATCAATATATATCCTTTCATCAAAGGATCCCGGGAGGAGGTCCTACTTTCTACGTGACAACTCACCAGTCTCTGACACGTTTGATTGTTTGCGTATGTAGGTGAGTTCACAATCAGTTATCACCACACATCCATCAGATGTCAGCACGGGCCTGGTTTTGGTTCCTAAAATCCTCTGGCTGCAACAAAGAGGAGAGATTAGTCATGGTCTCTTTTACTTGTGACATTCTCTGTGTGGGAGCAGGAGCTAAGATGCCCTACCCTGTATCCCATCTTATTAGTCCTAGAAAAACAATAAGAATCCCCTGTGACTTCAAACTGAGGCAACCCAGGTTGGGATGACTTTGTTATCGGGGGAAACAGATAGTGCAAGTTACCATAAGACTCTTTCACCACATTCCCAGGTGGCTTGCATGGAGGATAAACCTGACAGAGAGTCAAAGCCTGTCAAGGGGAACGGAGTAGTTGTTAACCTTGGTTTGGCTGTCCTACAGGCATAACAGTCCTCTTTAGACCGTATACTGAACCCATTCCATCCACAGGTTAAAATCTATTTACTCCGTCTCCATCTGTACTACTTCCTTCAGGTCTATAGTTTGCACTGTCTCACTACCTCCCTCAGAGAGGTTTACTCTATAGGGTGCCCCAGTTGAAGAAGATATCTCACTTGTCAGGTCTGTAATCTGTTTTAGCATAATTCAGACTTTCAGACAGTACCTACCCTCATATGGGTCGCACTGCCATTTCTGATAATTCCCTACTTTCACAATACTACACCTGTCCCTAAACTGTGTATGGAGATTGGTGATGTCCTTCCCTACGTCCCTAGTGTTTTCTCTAGCAGGAGGTAAGCTTGGCTTCTTATATGGTGTTGAGTAAAGCTTAAACCATGTATTTAGATCGTAGGTAGGTAGTTGTAGTTAGGTATTGTAGGTAGTTTATTTAGGTAGTTATTTAGGTAGTTATTGTAGGTTTCTGTAGGTAATTATTGTAGGTAAGTATTGTTTACGGCGGAGCCCGGCGAAGCACGAGGCTAGCTAGCTAGCGGGTAGCTACTGGTAACGTTTAGCAACGGTGGAGAGTTGTTTCTAATGTTATTTCACGCTTAAGAGTACCTGTAATTAAGCCAGCTAGTTACCTACCATTCAGCCGTTTTTCTAACCTCATTATCTGAGCCATCAACGTTAGGTAGTTAGTAGCTACTGTACTTAAT